TCAAATAAAAGTATGAAATTTTGAAAGATATCAAGAATACTGAGAAATATAATATCAAAATAACCTACATCTGTTTATTAGGAAAACTATAATAAAACTGATATAATATTATTTAGAATGTTTGTACTCTTTACAAACAGAAATAAATCTAATAAGTTTTGAAATATAGATGGATCACCACTATATTTTGCTGAAAGAACAATATTATCACACCTACAAAATATCTAATGTCCTAATATAAATCATTTAATCTGATGTAATCACATTATCTTATAATTTATAACAGCTTTATTATCCAAATTAGTAAACAACAAACACATTGGAAATATATTAATGTCACCACATAATTTGTCTAAGAGAACGCATGTGTAAAAATAACACATTAAACTGTGTGACTTATATATATAATATATATTAATTTATTTAAAAAAAAAAAATGCATTTATTTGAGAAAATTTGAATAAATAAAATCCATAAGCATCTTTCTCTTCGAGCACAGCAACACTATAACCAATCCAGCTGTATTTATAGAGAAAGTGTACTTACAGAAAGAATGATTAGAAAACAAAATGTATTAACTATAAATAGTAGTTGCATTAAATAGAAAATTTTATAAATTTCAACATTAGATTATTTAAAGAGGAAAAATAGTATTTTGTATAGAAATTCTTTTAACAGACTTAACTGTATAAATTGATTTAATGTAGTTGTTTATTTTAATGTTCAAATTAAACCTAAAGGCAATTCACTTTTATATACATAAGTGAATAATAAATGAAATACAGACAACAATGTACTAAAATTGTACCATTAAAGATAAATCAGAATGTTTGATTAACTATTATTTTTCTTATAACAATATTGTTAAAAACAAATGAAGCTAATGCTAAAAATCTGTATTGCTGCATGATACTTGATTTAATGTTAGACAAGTAAAACTTCCATAAACCAATAATGATGTTCACTTTATTTGTAATTTGGCTTTATTTTAAAACATATCTGAATAGTACATTTGAGAGAATTAATACAGTCAAAAGTACAAAAATAATATCTAAATAAAATAAGATGATCTGAAAGAAAAGAACTGGCCTGGGGTGGGGCATGAACCCACAGCCTCCACTTGCCATGCGATTCACTTGTCAGTTGCACTACCTGGACTCCAACAAGCCTTCGCTTCTAGATATACTGTATTTAAATTTAGATACAACCTTACACAGTTAATCACAGTGCCAGCTGGGGACAACTCCTACACCCACAGCCTAAGTGCATCTCCAGAATGGTACTCAGCTAGCTAATCTTTTTATCCAGTAAGTAAATATATACATAAGTATATACCTCACTGAATAAAAATGTTAGCTAGCTGAGTGCCATTCTGGAGATGCATTTAGGCCTTGGGCATAGGAGTCATCCCCAGCTGGTGCTGTGATTAGCACACCGCACAGTAAAAAGATGTTTGAGATTGTGCTTATAATTTAGGTCTTAAAAGAACAGAAAACACTAAAAGTTTAAATAATTCAGCATTCTAAAAGTTCTGTATGAACATCAAAAAGTTTTAATTGAAAATAAGTAAGAAGAAAATTAAATATCATCAAAACTTTCAAGCAAAACTTTTTAAGTTAGACCTGAACAAACAGAAAGAGTTACTGTCCTCTTTTATCACACTCATAACATTTTAATTTAACAATATTGCCAATATAGATTTAAATTTTGATAGATTATCACTCAGGAAATATTTCACTTTTATTTTTATGATTCTTAACATTACATGTATAGACATGGCTATACATACATACACATACAAATCATGCAATATATACAATAGCAAAAAAACATGTATTCATCAGTTCACATCAATTTTTTACTAGTTTCCTGACCTCATAATAGTTTTGATTTTTAAATTTAATTAATGTCAAGATAGCAAAAATAATAAAATAAGCTGATGACATATCAAAAAATTAATTTATAAAAATAAAACAACTCATATATCTTTCATTATATAAAATCATACAGTAAAAAATCTTCAAAGTATTACTTCAAGAATTCATTAAACCTGAAGAATTAATTCATCATTTTCAGCAGTTGTTTCAAACTTACTAAATCAGTACTAAATCTTTACACACACATTTATTTTACATACTTATTTCAGTAAGACATTTTTAATCCAATAAAAATTAAAAGTATTAATTTGTTTAATTAGTATAAAATCAATCATATTAGTTTACAAAATTTTGATGTCATATTTTCCAGTATTCTCAACTCAATGTTAAAATATATTAATACACTGTGGATATGTTTCATTAATATGTGTAATAAGATATTAATTTTGTACAGAATACAAAATAATAGTAAATATTTTTAGTAGAAAGTTATCAAAATATTTTTTAAAAATAAAATTAAGTTTATAACATTTTTGTACAACAAAAAAATGTGTTTTATAATAATACACTTCTCAGTTATGAATAAAAACCAACTATTTATTATTAGTATTAAAATTAAAAAATTAATATATATTCTTTAAATAAGTATTTGATATAATAGCATTGTTAGAATTGATTATTTTTAAAAAAACTAAACTTGGCTGCAGGGAAAAAACATATTAATTCAAAAATAAACAACTAAATTTTATATTAGTATAATAAAATGAATTTACAATATTTAGATTACGATTTTATAACATATTCCTTCAGAATTTAAAAATCTTTGTACAAATTATGTACATTCTTGAAAAAACATTTTAAATAAATCTCAGAAAAAATAGTAATCAAGTTACTGAAGAAATAAAGAGGTTAACTAAATTAAAAAAAAAAACTATTTACAAATAATTTTCAAAGTTTAAATCTCTGATATGTTTTGACCTACAAATGTCCAACCTATTTTTCATTAATAACTGAAAATTTTCAATATTAACTTTTATTTTTTTGATTGTAACTTACAGTCAAACATTGTTTAGTGCAATTATTGAAATATATACATTTCTTAAAACTCTCTTCTATTAATAAATTAAAAAACTACTTAATAGTAAAGTTCAATCTTCAATTTCACTCTGGTCACAAACCATATATAGTAATGCATTTTTGAGATTTAAAACTATCTGCAATGTTGTAATAAGAGAAGAGATATCAAGTTACAGTCTCAGTCACAGAAATAAACAGTTGAGAATATTTGATATTCTAATTAATTATTAAAGCTCTGTAAATTGAACGGAATATTTGTTACTGGAAAATTTTCACTTATATATTCAGAACAGTCACAAATTTATGTATTTTTAAAGTAAAAATAAATTTAAAATATCATTTCATTTATTACTGTTATAATCATTAAAAATGTTTTCAGGGACAAGTTTTATTCATTACGAAATGAATTATCTAGCCATGAAAAATATTTCCTTATTCTTACACAGAACTTTTAAATTCTAAAGGAAAGATTATTATTAATTTTCTTTTATACTGCTTTAGTAACAATAACTCATTTTTCAGATAAATTAAAATCTGTAATTTATAAAATGACAATTTTCGAAATGAATATTTTAACATTTCTTATAAATAAGCTTATTCTGTATTAATGAAACAAATTTTGGAACAAAATCATAATTTAGTCTATTAATCTAATAGTGCATAAAATCTGAAAAAGACTAGTTTAAAAAACAATTAAACTTCTACTTTTCATTCTAATTCAATTTTCATTAATCTAACTTAAATAATGACTTTTTGTAATAAATAACTTTTATTATTAATACATATAATGGTTATTCTTTTCACTAGAATTATTTAATTATAGCTTTTTTTTTTTAAATATGTCAAACTTCAACATTATCCAATTTGAAAAGTAGAATGTATAAATTTCTAAATTAAACTAAAAATAAAAAAAAATAATAATGAATTAATTAAAAATTTTCTTTTTAAAGATGAAATACATAAAAAAAGTTCTTGAAAGTTTGAAAAGAATTAATAAATTTTCAGGCTGTTTATTAACTTATTTATTCACTTCAACTTTCAATCACTTTTTAAATGTATTTGTTATTTATTTAACACAGAAATAAGTTATTTCATTATATATCATGTTTTTTGTATATTGTTGAATATTAACATTATTGTTACAATTATTGTTGAATAAGAAACTTATTCAATAAATATATTAATATTTTTAATGCTATTTTAGAGAATATTTTTATATTGTTATTTTAAAATAAAAAAAAACAAACAATCACTTTATTAATTTATAAGGTTAGTCCTGACCCAATCTAAGCAGAAAAATAAATTCTTAAAGAACTGATCAATCAGAAATAAAATCATCATCAAGAAACTAAGTTTTCTGAATTTACATAAATATTCATAGCTTAATCTAGTTTCTACTGTTTATATTTCTTCTTGTAGTTAATGCAGCATAAATTAAATTTATCTTGCATATATCATTTTTAAAAGTGAATTACTTTTTACTTTACAACTACTTTAGGTAAATAAGCAGATATTAATAAATCTTAAAATAACCCATTAATTTAAAACATTTCATAATTATAAATTTCTATGACTTTTTAAAAATATTAATAAACTGAATAAATGACTTGGTGTTTGTTTCTTTAATAAAGAAACTAAATACTATATAATTAACAAAGAATTTCATTATAATTAAATTGCTTCATATTATTTTTATTTTTGCTTAAAAATACACATAAAATGAACTTAAACTGAACACATTAATAGAAGACTCAAAGATAATTAAATTCAATTAAGTTTTTTCTATTCGTATTCAGTAACTTTAATATATTTAAGGAATTAACTATCTTAGAAAGCATTTTCATATGCAAAATCCACTATTTTATTTCATTAGAAAATATTTCATTATATTGTTTAACCATTTTGTCATATTTTTAATTCATTCATAATTTATATTTGTTATTTTAAAATTCCATTTTAGTAAACAGTGTTTCTTAAAAATAAATTTATAGCAAATTAATTTTCTGGTAAAGTTACAACCAAGGATAAAATATTAACTATCAATACCTGTATACTATAATCTGTTTCACATGTACTATCATAATCAGGTTTATCAGGGATGCAAATGATTATGGGTGATTTAGGTCTAACATTTGCTGAAGAATGATCATCTAGCTTCTGCCTTTTACATTCAACATTTTCTGTTGCTGAAAAGGTATTAATATATTTTATTTTTATTTTATTTAATAATAAATAAAACTTTAAATTACAAAACTTTACAAGTTAATAATAATTACAAAAAGTAAGTTATTAACCTGATGGTCTCTTGATGCTATCAATTTGTGAATTCTCTGAAGACTCTTTAAAAAAAAGTTTGTATCAGGTTTTATTTATTTATTAATTTTAAGCTTTTTAATGAAAATGATATAAAGATTACAGAATAAATGTAGTAATTAAAAATAGTTTACCAGAACTGTCCTTGGTAGTGGGTGGTAAACGATATAATACACGTGTTAATAATTTCCTAAATAACATAAATTATCAACATTAAGTATAACTAAATAATCAGCACATGTAAAATTCTACATAAAATCGAGTGTTAGCTCAATCATATTCAATATAATCTATTAATCTATCATATAAATTAAAAAAATCAAGTTTTTTCAATAAATTGTATTATAAGTAGTGATTTCACTGTATGTGATAATCATCCCTCTTGTAAACAAGCATTTTTAATATATGTATTAAGCATTTACAAAATGATAGTCACAAGTTTTTCTTTGTTATTATATTTTAAGTAAAATTAACATGCTTAACATGTTTTCATCCCAAACTTTTTCTAAACACATTTAATAATTTTTAGAAAACTTAATTGTTTTAGTTTTTTCATTTAAAGGAAACCCTATGAATATAAATTCTAGTGATACTAAGTGAATTACAATAAACTTTAAATAATGAAATTTATTCCTCTAATAAAATAATTACTTTCATCTGTCACTAAACTCATAAATAAAGCTAACATTTTAAAGCATAATGGCAGCCTCTCATAACTGAGTTAATGATAGAAACATTAGATGAAATTATATATTAGACTTAAAATAATTACAGAATGGTAATTTTATCACTAATTCAATTATGAAAAGTTGATATCACACTTTAAAATGTTAGCTTTATCTATAAACTCAATTTCTAATACAGATGAACTAAAATATCTTTCAATGTAAAATTAATTTAAAGGTTTTTGTGGAATACCACATTTGATTTTAAACACTTTAAACTAGGGGTACCTGGAATATCTATGGGATGCATGCAACCTGCTGCCTGACTTCAGTAAAAATATTTTCATGTTAATAAACCTACTCAAATAGTCATAAATGCATTAGCATTATTTTAATTTTGATTTATATAATGCATTTAAGTTTCTTATTGCTAAATTTTCACACAAGTATTTGTTTTAATGCAATTCTTTTTAAAGTAGTGATATAATGAAAGATTAGTGTAACAAAGAAGTTCATAAATGCTGTACTGCAGAAGTGGTATCTTTAATAATGAAATATACTACAGAGACATATCAAATCAAATAAAGCAACAGTTAAATATGTTAAAATAGTTAAAGTATTAAAAAAATTTAAGTGACAAATTAGACAAGTAACAATTAAAAATTAATACAAATTATTCAACTCAACCTTATATTATTATTATTTCATCATTAAAATCATCTTTGAACTCACAGTTAATTAATAATTATTATTTTAGAATTATTACTGTTAGTAGATATATGCCATCCGAATGTCAGCAAGGAAGTATTTTTAAGATATTTAAGATTAAATATGAATAATTTGCAAAAATAAAAAAATATATTTCTAAGAATTTCAATGTTGTGTATTATTAGATTGTGAAAATTAAATTTAATATACAACAAGTCTATTTTTGCTACCAAATGAATGTACAGTGAAAACTGCTTAGGCGACCACCTGCATTCGTCGGGCACCTGTCAAAACGGGCAAAAATTTCTGGCACGGAATAGTTTATTCATAGAGTCTTCGTATAAGTTACCTGTATTAAATGACCACCTGTGTAACGCGACCGCGGGCATCGATTTTTGGTCCGGAACAACATACAACACCTGTAATAAGCGACCACTTTCGCGAATGTATCTGGTCTAAACTATTGTAAAAACCCATCTCAACAACGTTTCCCCTCCAAATATAATAAATTAGTCTAAACTCTGGTTCGAACCCATCCCGGCCACTTCTCCCACCCTTGAAATTAGGTGCAGGTGTTAATAAATTAGTCTAACAACAAAGGAAATTCATTTCAGTTTGTTGGAAAATGTCCAAAAACGAAAGAAATGTGCTGTCGTTAGAAGATCGTGTTATTAATTAATTAAAGTTATCACACCAGCAATTAGCAGCGAAATTTAACTGTGGAAAAACGAAATTGATTTTACCCTAGACCTACAGTATATTCCTTGGGGTATAAAATATTGTACACGATAGAATTAATCGGCTGATCTCATCGTTTGACAAAATCTATTTTTATTTATTTATTTTGAAGCTCATATACAGTACATGCGCGATAAATAGTTTCTGTATCAATCTACCTTATTTCCACGATACTTTTAGAAAAATAATATCCAAGTAATTTTTGCAGGCAAAATATTCAAAAAACAATAAACGCATTAATGTAAAAATCGGTTTTACTTCCTTTTTCGATTCCGCGATTGTAATGAAATCGTATAATGAGAAAAAATAATAAAATCGTTTTATTATTAATTAATAATTTTTCTTATTGTACTTAATTAATTAANAAAAAACAATAAACGCATTAATGTAAAAATCGGTTTTACTTCCTTTTTCGATTCCGCGATTGTAATGAAATCGTATAATGAGAAAAAATAATAAAATCGTTTTATTATTAATTAATAATTTTTCTTATTGTACTTAATTAATTAAGAAAATACAATATTTTTAAAGTTAAAATATGATTAAACTAACGAAAACCAAAAGCAAAGTGATGGAGAGATAGGACGCGCTTGTACATTGATGACGTAATACACGTAACTGAGGAGAGGACGAGTCGAATTAATTAAGTGGGAAAAAAGAAAGTGTGCATTATAATCGAGAAAATGCGAGTATTGTATTAATCTTTAAAATAAAATACAATACCAATATAGCCCTATCGTTGAAAAAATTCGCTTATTTTTGCTCACCTCGAGTTTTGTTTAGTAGAAATGGCTAAAAAATGCGCAAAATACGTACGGAAATACGTTATTACAGGACCATCTGTATTGGACGACCACCTGTCTAAAAGACCACTTTTTGAAGGAACCGTGGGTGGTCGCCATAGACAGGTTTTACTGTATTTTATATTTTTTAACTATAGATTAACATAGTCACTATTATGATATGTCACTTCTGTTACAGTAATATTTGTGTCACTCTCCTTTGAAATTCATCTCCATTGTCATTGCTTTGATACACACCCATTTAATGTTCATATAAATTCTAAGTAAAGAATAATAATTGCCTGTTTAAAAACAAATGAACTTAACATGATCTAACTTAACAATACTGAACACTGAAGTTGTTCAGCCTTGTTTTAAACTAAAATCATAGGATAGAATAAACTCCAAATAAAGTCCAAATGTAAAATAATAGTTATTGATTTGAAAATTACTTGCTTACAAAAATGATATAATCAAGTATTTGTCTCAATTCAATGGAAATTCAAATTTTTATATATCTTTACTGAAAAGTTCAAGATATAATTTTAAAAATTTAATTAAAAAAAAGTGTGTATCTAAATTTAAGTAAGTCACACTTTGAAATTTTACATGCTGATATATTTTGAAAAAATATATTACATAGAGACTCATGCACAGGATTTCTTAAGTGTGGTTAAAATTTTTTTTTTTTTATAAAGTAACTTATATACCTATATTGTGAAAATTAATACAGTAACACAATACAGTAGACTAAGGTAAAATTGAATGAAAAATTAATGCTTTACTCACATAACATCATCTATAGTAAATTTATTCACACCTAAAACTTTACCCAGATCATCATCTTCACAAAAAATTTGTCTGGGATTTTTTTTGTCATACAAATTATGAGCTATTATATAATTTTTCATAAAGCCCAATATCTAAAAAACAAAGGTTATTAAAATTACAGTAAGAATATCATGTAATCAAATGTATTCAAATAATAATCAAATATTTACCTGAGATAATGTAAATAATTTACCACTTGCACCAACACTTTCAAGTAACTTAAGAAATGCTGATTTTAACACAAACTAAAAAAAAATATTAAGTTGATTCATTATAACTGAACACAAATGCAAACAGTATTCTTAATTATGTAGTAAACCTAATATATGAAATGTTACCTCATTAGCAGCATGTTATATAAACTTTATATTACTCTGTATATTATAATAAATAACTGTTTCATAGTTATTATAATTATGTTGTTATATTAAGTTCCAGTTTAATGTATAGAAAATGTTTTAAAATAATTTGTGATTTATGATAGAAATTAGTTTTAGATAATAGCAATATTATGATGTAGTGTGTAAGAACAGATATTTAACACCACCTATGACTTTCTCAGTAAAACGTTCCTGAGTTATGACAATGACTAAACACAGCATGCAAATATATTTTAATAAGTTTCACTATTTATTAATATTTTTAGAAAAAAATAATAAGTTTAAAATTTCTTCTATACATTGAATAATAATAATAATACACTGAATAAAAGTTTGAGATTTCAAAATATTTTAATATACTGTGTAAGAACTGTACATAGTTTATTTGTTCTAACTAATTTATGTTTTCTTCTTGTTTTTTTATTTCAAAATGGGTGCTAGCAAAACATTAATTGATTATAAAGAGGGACAAACTAGCAAACCAACAGAATGGGTAATCAGAACGTGAAATTGAAAAATTATTAAACAGATCCTGACAATTGACAAGCTTATTTCCAAAATGACGTATCTCCAGAAAATACAAATTTTAAATAATTGCTTTAAATATTAAGGTAAAAACTTAATTATTGGTACAGAGCTTTATTTTTATATTCCAAATATAGGTTTAACAGTGAAAAAAATCCCAAAGCAAAGGATATGGTTGTACTTCAAATCATGGACTTCAACCACTTTGGAACAAAATTGCAGCATTTAAATGGATAATGTAATAAAAACAACAAATACATGGTCAAAAAACTTTTAATAAATAAATATAAAAGAGAATATACGAAATAAGATACAAAACAAAAATGAAAATCACACAAACCTTGTTCATATGACTGAAGATAATAAAAAAACAGCATTTAAAAAGTTACTAATTCCAAAAGAAAGAAAATAAAAACCTAATGATTACATAAAATTATTAATAAAAATCATATTGTAATTGTTCTGTCACAGAATCAATCACTTTCTAAACAAGAAAACATTTTTTGTAAAATGTCATTGAGTATGCCCATCACGTATTCCCAGTTTATTTAAAAGTTTCTGCACATCGTCTTTTCGAGATTAACTTTATTTCCCAATCAAACAAATCAACTAATAGACATGACCATTTTTAAACCTCTTTTTAACATTGTATATTTGCACATTCCTGATCTATCAGAATAGTGCTGTTTGCAACAAACATATTTAGAGTTTATATTCTGATCACTTTCAGATACTTTAAAATCCATTTTTGTCTTAATGTATTAATGAAGTTTCCAATTACCAAGAATGTGTACTTGTCTTGTACGCTCAAAAATGTTATTGTAGTCTCATATTTCCAACACTTTTGTCCCTGCTCCGCCTATTGGCACTACAGGATTCACAGAGACTACTCTAATCATAGGTAGGTCGGGCACCCAGCATTTTCTGAGGTGTCTGGACTTAAACAGCCAGACCTGAGTTAAATGCTTTGGCTCTGTATGAACCATTGGGGACCAACCATCCTCACTCTTGGGTATGACCGTCTAGCGTTCAAATACAGTTTTGTGTGCAGCCTGTACTGCACTTAGAGTTCTCTACCTTTGAGAGACCAGCTCATATTAACAGTCAGTGGGACCCCCTCCCCTAGAAAAGAGGCCTGCCCAGTAAATCCACTGAGCTTATAGATCAAAGAGACCTATTACTTTTTCCATTTATTCCTTTAGTTTCCTTTACTATCTGCTAGCATTTGAAGTATTTGTTGAAGGCTTAGACCAGTCGACTTGGTCAGCCCCTCGGCGGAAGTTCTCAGTAAGAGGACAGTCAAGTACATAGTGCCTTGCGTCACCATGAGAACACCCAAAGGAGCAGCTACCATCTCCTTGTCTGAACTTGAACTTGAAGTAGTGAAACCTCCCATGTCCGGTCAGTATTTGCATCATTAATCAGTCACTACACACTGGAGTATGGCCAACTTCAATCACAAAGGCATAGGTTAACCTACCTATTGTACTTTGAGTCCAGTGTTCTTGCCAGTATGTCACTGATCATTGCAGTAGAGTACCTGTTATAAAGGTAGTTGAGGGTTTGACCATCCTCGTTACAAATGGGTCCGTGGCTTCAGCCTTGGCGAGTTGATTGGCATGCTCGTCACCCAGGATCCTGATGTGGCCTCAGACCCACCTCAGGGCAACATGTCATTTGTGCCTTGCCCTCAGTACCCTACCTCTGATCTTCTGTACCAGCATGTCCTTATGGTACCCATTACTCAGGGCCTGAAGCAACAATTGGCTGTCAGAGTAAAATGTGACCACTCTGGAACCTGGATGTTGTAGGATCTGCTGGGATGCACGCCCCCTCCAAGACCACCAAATCTGCCTGGAATGCCTCTTCAACTGACAATACACTTGCACAACACTTTCAAGTTAGAGACTGCTGTAACTATGTCGACTTACTGGTAAAAGAAGCAGTTCGGTTTTTTTTTTTAACATTTTTTTCTACCCTTTCAAATGCCCTATCTATGGGTAAATAACTGACCCCACACCAGATATGTATAGTGTAATTTTTGAGATTATATATCTGAAAGTTTACTTAGCATTGCTAATAACGTGTAATTTTTGTTTTGTGCACTGCATCCATCACAAAACAAATTAATTTTCTTGATTTTCTTACAAAAATTTCTATAAAAAAGTACACTAGCATATCGACTAAATACTTTTTGAACTTCTTCAAAAAATGTAGACATTAAAGAAAAATTAAGAAAACAATCAAACACAATAGCACTTGCCCTTCAGAAAGAAATCGTTACTGTGAAATAGACATGTGACCAAAATACACTTTATAATTGGCTGTATGGGCAATGCAAAAGTTTGGAAATAAATACAGAACAAAAAACTTCAAATTTGAAAAGAAAACCAATTTTTTGATACATTTTTCAACAGAAGAAACACCTGTTTCGGGAGAAAAAGTATTGTAGCACTATAGAGAAGCATATTATCAACATGTTGGTGCCATGAACTAAAAAAAATAAAAAGTGAAGATATGTCACTTTGAAAATAAGCTCTTCAATTATGGAAGGAAATCATGCAATGAACAACTGATTAAGTTATCTACTTGAAAAAAAAAATGATTTTGAGATGTGCAAGCACTACAAATGAGTCTGCTATAAACATTACAAGGCAATTGAAGCTTCCAATCAGCTCAAAAACTATTCTTACAGTTATGACAGCATCAGATATCATTTAGTATATGAAAATGAAAGCAACTGAAAGTACATTTTCTGGCTACTCACTTTTGCAAAGATGTCACAAACAACGAATTTTGGGAAAATGTTGCTTTTAGTAATGAGAAAAATGTAATCAGAATTTATTACAGTTCCTTAGAAATCGAATGCTAAAATATGTAATGGTTATAAAACAATAAGTTTGATAAGCCATATGCTGAAGAGCCAGGCTAGAATATATCAGAAATGTGAAGAATATTTGAGTGATTTTGGATTTCAGAATGGACTTTGTACAAGAGAAACCTTATTTAGTATAATATTCTTATACAGCAGTGCAGAATGTGTCAGTGGATGTCTATGTACCGTACATTAAGCATTTGATCAGGTTAAACATGACATTTTGGTTTAAATCTTATAATAGGACTAGTGAAAGGATATTCATATTATTGTAAATTTGCATTGAAAGCAGATAGATATAATAATAGTTTATGGTACAATCTCACAACAAATTAAAATTCAAAACAATTGTGTATCAGTAAACAAACATTCAATTTTCAAAGGCCCATTTTTCAGAAATGCTTGAGAAGTAGGTCCTGTTATTTAAACAAGGAGCTCTTTGTGTTAACAGCTACACTCTCACAGAGTTTATTTCAAATCAGAGACCTGAACATCTGAACCTCTCTTTGTCAGATCAAACAAGTTAAAAATATGAGAAACTTATGTGATTAGTGTAAGACATCAATATACTTTATTCAAGAAAACCATGGATAGGATGCAAATATCATTGACAGTAGTTCATATTCTGTAAGGACAAAGCACAATAAGAAGGGAAAAAACGTTTCAATATATATAAAAACATTTTTGGTATTTTTTTGTCCAGCTTTAGTTACAGAACATTCTTAAAATGAAACATCAAAACTTTATAAAACTGAACAACAGTTTTACAATTTCATGTTATAGGATCTAATCTGAAAAAGCAGTGTAGATTTTTGTTATAAATTAAACATTATATACAGTGTACCTAATTGAGAATGGAATCAGGAAAAATTAACCCAATACAATGTTAACAATCTATATCATCAGATAAGAATTTGCTAAACACTACAAGATTATATTAGAAAACATTATTTCATGTCATCTTCCTTTCTTTTTAACCTTTGTCTTAAAATTAAATTACTAATACTTTATTTAGAATTGGTATTACCAACATTTTATTTACTAATTGACAAAGGTAAACATTGTTTTATTTTGAACTACAGCAAGCTGTGCAAATGATAAACAACAGTTAAGTTGCCTACAAAGCTAAATTTAAGTGTACAGTTATCTGCTTTGCTGAACAACAAAAGAACAAAGAAGTTGAATGAAAATATGATGTAGCAGAGAGCAATATTAGATGTGTAACAGCATTAACAGGCTATTTTTGAGTGCAAGACTTCATGAAAGAAATTCAATAAACCTCAAAAAGGAAGTCATCTGATGAACAAGTTGTAGAGTTTGTGAAAGAGAAGTGAAAGATCTAATAAAGAGGAAAGGCAATGAAATTTGACATGCTCTAAATATGCTACAGCAAACTCTTAAAGCCAACTGCATTTGGGTGATGCACTTCATTAGGCATAGGCCTTGTCTCTACAATGGTGCATAACTATCCATCAGAAACTGTTAACAAATTCTCAATTCTCTAAGTTTTCAGTTGATTGTAGTTAGACAAACAGGAGACTTTACGTTAGGCCAGATTAGCAATGCTAATTAAACCTCTATTTAGCTAGATATGCTTTGCAATTACATAGTTGAAGAAAAAAAAAGGTAAAAGAAGTTCTCTATACCCTGATAGTGGAGTCAAACAAATATATCTAAAAATGTGATCATCATGAAGCACTGTAAACATAACAATAAAATGCATCTAAAGATGCATTTATTATTTAATACTAATTTCCTGTAGATGCATGTTTAATGATATAGAACCTATATTACGTTCACACTGTTTTGGGTTTTGATATCTCAAAAACCAAGTGTACTTTAGTGAATTCAGAGATTTAAAAATTACAACAAAAATAAATTCTCAATTAAAATCACACCAAACTATTTTCAAAATGTGAAATCTATTTCAAATGATAAATTTTATTTTTAATATACTATGTCTCAGAAACTGACTGTTAATATAATTGAAGTGAAACATTCACTGTAATAATATAGATAACATGTAAGACTACATGAAATTTAGTCCTATGTTTATAAAATGCATATAAAATGTACTTTTCAAAATTATTATGATTATAATTCCTATCAATTTATATTAGAATAAAATTAATATACAGTACGAGTCCTTTTATTTTTTCTGAGTATTTTTAAACAGTATTCTAATAATCACACTTTTTTGGTAAGCTTAAAAAAATTAATAGTTTAACTAGTATCTAAAAAAAATTTCTGATTACCTTTTCAGTTTTAATTCCACTAGTTGAAACTTCTTCATTTGTAGTATTCTGAAAAACAAACAAACCACATGATCAAATAAAACCAATGTCTAAATCTATGTAGTTACAGTATATTATAAAAGCTAAAATCCAGATAAATGCTAAGAATAACATTTCCAACAGCCTTTATCCAGCAGTGTATTTATGTTTATGATGGTAATGAGTTTAACAAAATTTGAATATACTAAAAATATGAACATAAAATATAGAATTCAATATGTAATAAAACCTGTTCAAAATTACTGTATATATTATTACTAGCAGACCCCGCCACGCCTTGTTGTGGCTCAAAATGTATCTATTATAAATGTATAACACTGCCCCAGTGGGGGAAAATTTTTCGAAAAATTTTTTCTTAGTGTACATTCTGTTGACGTACCCTATTAAAACGCAATCAAAAACGCAAAAACCCGCATCTAAAATAGTATAATAGAAGCCAAGTTTTTCAGAGTAAGCCTTAATCCTGTCTCTCTCCCCCGCGGGGGGAATATCGAAAAATCCCTTCTTAGTGTACATTCTGTTGACGTACTCTATTAAAACGCAATCAAAAACGGAAAAAACTGCATCTAAAATGGTATAAATAGAAGCAGAGTTCTTTACGGTAACCTTTTCCGTAAGGCTTACCGTAAAGAACTGTCCATCCCCCATGTTTAACGGAATAATATACAGCCTATGTCCACCCTGAAGTTCCATTCTAAATATTGGTGAAAGAATTTTGAAATCGGATGAGTAGTTTCGGAGATTACCTGCTGCATACAAACTAACATACATACATACATACATACATACAAACATTACCTCTTTATAATATTAGTATAGATTAATTTTTCTACTAAAATTAATATAATCAGTAATGTTTTTGAATTCCCATCAGATGAAAAAAACTTTTTTTAATACAAACAAAAAAACAGCTGTTCTAAAAAAATTTTATTTTCCGATGGGAATTCAAACACATTGTTAAAATTCGTCACCAGACGGACATTGAGGCATAATCTACATTTGTCAGAGCTATTTTTAAGTAGATATAAAGGAGCCGAAATCCTGAATGGATAAGGATGAGAACATTAAAGACGTTGTAAGATTTACCATTTCCAATTTTTAAGAAATTTTTAAATTTTAATTGGATTTCTGTGTTTTTAAGGAACTTTTTAACTGGGCAGCTGAGTAGTCTAAAAAGGAAAGTCTGGCTGTCTATAGTTTGTTCTGGAACATTGAAGAAAATAAAATAATGATCGTCTGAGAATTTTTAGAAAGACTGTTTTTTTATTTGTATTAAAATAATCAGTAATAGTAATCTTTACATTTAAAAATCAATAGAAATTTGATATGTAAACAAAATTGATATACAGTGGAACCTCTATATTCGTAATATTCGATATTTGTCATAATTTGCAACAACAGCAGTAATGCTATAATCACACACTCACACCAATCAGCTAGCTGTGTTAGCTTAGTGTTGCCAATTTAGCTAATTTTTGATTTAGTGAGTTTATGAATGATCTAGTTATGCAAATTACCTAAATTAAAATGGCCTAGCTATTTTTATACTATCTAGATATAAAAAATCAAACAATTTTAATGGAAACAATATGATTTAAATATTTTTATTAAAATGTCTAGCTATAAATTTGAATTTTGAGTTGGCAACACTATGTCAACTAGCTGTAGTTAATCAGTCTGCTTTGTGTGGTCATCATGTGTGTTCTTGGTTTCTTGTGTTAATTATTTTCAAAATCTCAAGTTTCAATGGTTCCAACAAAGCACACTGAAGAAAAAGACAAAAAAGGAAAGCTGTTAAAACAACTACAGAGATAAAAACATTATTGCTAAGTCTGAAAATGAATAAAGTAGAGAGGTTGCAGCCTAAGTTTTCATCTCTAAAACGTCGAACATTGAGCACTGCTATCTTGTAAGCCTAGAAGTTTGACAATGGCCTTTAGAACATCATTGGGAATAATGCTCGAAATTCCAAATGCCATTATCAAACTTCTAGGCTTACAAGACGGCAGCACTCAACATTTGACGTTCACGTTTTATAGATGAAAAGTTCAGCCACAACCTCTCTAGTGTTTCCAATTTAGCCAAAGAATTTAATATGCCAAGATCATAATTGGAATTACCTAATGTTTTAATTGATGGTATGTCTTCTAAATAATAATAATCTTCTCCTCCTTCTACCACTATACTGTATTTATTTAGTACAATAAAGATAAGGTTTTACAAAGAACAAAATTTTTATTCTTCTATCTTTTTTAGGATGGGAATGGATTAATTGAATACCAGTTATTTATTATGAAAAAAATTGTTTCTATATTCATCATTTTCCATATTCATTAAACCCTTAGGAACAGATTAATGACGAATATAGAGGTTCATCAGTACATGATATTTGAAGATTAAAAGAAATCTATACTAGTAATAAAATCTTAGACAAGTTGAATTTTGACTTACCTGTGACATGATAAAAGTTTCCTAATTTTTCAAAATTACTATCTTCAAACACTTTAATCAGTGAATAGCCTAAAAAATAATTTAATTGTATAAATTATTAATAATTATATAAATCAGTATCAAATAGAACTAAAGTTAAAAAAACATCAAAAACAAGTTGAACAACATGCGATTATTTTGACAATGTTAAAATGCTTAAAATATTAACTAATATAAAACTTACAGAATAATTTATAATTACATATACTAATAACATTGTGATCATTTTGTTTACAGGTTTTTATATCATTTTATGATAACAGGTCAAACTATTAAAATTTTGCCTAAGTAAAAATGAATGCATATTATACTTATAACAGGGATGCACAACCTTTTGTGAAGAAGGGCCAAATTAGGATTAAGTTTACTGACTGGGGGCCGGACCTCCAAGCGATTAATGCGATGGCTGAGATTGGATGCTGGCGGCAATCTTCTTGATGTCTGGTGTAATGGCAGATGTTGAAACAACCAGTAGATTTTCCAAATTCTCATTGATTAATCTGTTCCGTGTTTTGCACTTGTTTAAATTCATAAGCGAAAACTTGCAAGCTTGTTTGGCAGTACCCATGTATGCCTGTTCGCATACATAGGTACTGCCAAACATGCTTGCACAAAATCGAGCATTGTCTTTCAATTTTGGAAATGATGTATCTGGCAGTTCTTTGTAGAATGTGAGGAGATTAGAATTTTTGAACTGTGATTTCAATTCATCACTGCACTGGATGTCTATCAACTCAAGTTGGACATCTGGAGGGGCATCTTCCACTTTCACATCAAATGGAGTTGAAAAAAGTTGCAGGTAGATCTTGTATTTCTGGAATTCACCAAACCTCTCATTGAATGATGTAAGGAGGGTGTTAACTTGGTCAGAGTAATCCATCTTCATATGTGGAACTTCAGTATACGTGGGCAGGTCAGCATAATCAGCATCTATTTCTTCAAGAAATGATGTGAAGAGTCGATGGTTGAGTCCATGAAGGCGGATTAAGTTCACAGTATCAGACATCTGACAGATGTCTGATACTGTGAAAGATGTCTGATACTGTGATACTGTGCAGACGTTCAAATCCCAGCTTCTTTGCACAAAGTTGCTGTTGGTGAATTATACAATGATACTGGACTAACCCTTTTGCCTGTCCCCAAGGTGGTTTTTCAGCAAGGTGACCATGCCATTGTCACATCCAACCATAGATGGTGCTCCATCAGTGGCAATGCTGGATAGCTTGTCAAAGTCCAGTGCTGATTTGTTGCAAATGCTCCAGTTGTATGTCTGGAAAGTGATGCCATGCCAAGAAATTCTTCATTCACAATAAAATCTAGTGAAACACTTCTAATAAACACAATCACTTGTGCTGTTGATGATATGTCAGTGGATTCGCCCACAGCCAAAGAAAAATAAGTGCAGTTTGCAACTAAAATATTAAGTTGGCCAGAAATGTCTGATGCAATTTTCGAGATTCTCAGTTGTATCGTCATGCGGTTAAGACTGATTGTTTGAAAACACTTTGTCTTCTCAGGACACATCTTCTCACCTGCAATGATAAGACACTTTTTTATCATATCGCCATCTGTGAAAGTTTCCCATTCTTGACTATTAAAGCAGATATTTCTAGGCTGGCTTCAACAGCTGCATCCAATTCTCCAGATTGTTTCTTGAACACATTTTGTTGGCTGATTAGTGATTGTCGTAACGATTTGATTTTCCATTTGTATTCCATACCTTGCAGAAGGAAATCCTTGTGTTGGCTTTCATGATGTCGCTTCAGGTTGAATTCTTTTGGCACTGCTACTGTTCCATTGCACAAGAGGCAAATAATGCTGTTGTTCTGTTGCACAAAACAGTACTTGTTAATCCACATTTTTTGAAATTGACGATTCTCGCGATCGACCTCGAGTTTAATGCTCGCGCCATACTGTTCACTCTGCAAAACAATGTCTCGTTGTGCCGAAAATTCTGAGGCCCACAATGAATCGTGTTTGAGATAAGGCAAACTAGACTACCACATGCTTTGTTCTGTATCCACTGACCAAAGACCAAGAGGCGGGGACAGAAGACTATTACGCACACGTGACAAATGGCCAGGCAGGTCTTAATTCGTTTGACCCCTGTCCAGGCATCTCCACCATTTCTCAGAATTTGTGAGTCAGATCGTCAACATGCCAGGTGCAGGGCACAAATCCATCATAAATGTGGTTACCATTCTTACCTAAATTATATTTATGGCTCGTCAGTTTTAGCCCCTTGTTCAGAAATGAATCAAAAGTGATTAACGCGGTGCAGCGGAAAATCTGAATATTTTAAATACAATTATTAAAATTGCGATATCTCGTTTCAAATTGGCACTAGAATCAATCTGTTTTTTGTTTTCTGTCACAAATATATCACAGTTTACGACTGTTAAATTTCAAATAAAATAAAAATTAAAAATAATAATTTAATTTTAAATTTACGAAAAAAAGAATGTAAAAATAAAAGTAAATAAAAAGTTCCAATTAATTTACTACTTAAATAACCTAAATATATCTGTTTTCTTTCAAACAAAAAAAACCGCAGCTTTCTAGCTACACGGAATCATTTTACAACCCTCTTTGTTGACAAGTTTATGGCTTGACGCGGTTTGTAATAATTATTAAATCCAAAATATTTTAATGCAAATGGCTTCCTTTTAGTCGTAATGACTCTATTCCAACTACAGTATTAATTTTCTTGGTCCAACTTAATAATAATAAATTTGATGTGAAAAATTTTTTTTCTATTCTTTGTCTATGGAGAGATATTGTTGTAAATTATTGGTTTTATAGCTTTTTGTACATTCCTTTTTGAACTCTGGTTAGTTTTTTTCTAGTTTGAATGACATTAGGTTGACGAATAAGCGTCTTTTCAGAAAAGATTGATTCAAATTCGACTATACCAATCAGAATCTAGAATGTAAACAAATGCTAAAAAATCGTTATTTTCATGGTTTTTCAGCGCTATTTTCACTTATTTTTGTTATTTGACGCTATTTAGACGAATAAGCAAGTTTTCCGAAGCATAAAATTGAAGATTTTCCGCCAAAATAGAAACTTCCTGATAACATCGGAAATGACGTTCTAACATCATTTTATTTTATTTGATTCTTCAAAAAATCATTATAATACTATGTATTAGACTTAAAATATTCGATATCTAAACCAGAAAGTGTTAGCTAGAAATACACTTATTTATAGAACAACCCCCATTTCTCACTTCAGGGAAAGTTATAAAACAGTTGGGTGCTAATGACTTTGTGAAAGGGAAAAGTTCTACACTTAGAAACTTTGAAAGAAGGGATTTGGCCTGTACCATCTGCGGGCCGCATAAACCTTGATAAGTGGCCTTATGTGGCCGCGGGCCGCAGGTTGTGCACCCCTGACTTATAATAATATAAAAGAAAATCTGTTCACATAATATTGGTTGCTACAAAAAGAAACTTCATTTGGTAAACAGACAAGCACAAGTAAGAACTTTGAAGGCTATTTTAACCACAGTAAGATTAAGATATATTTCTGACAAATTAAATGTCAATTTTATTACTATAATTTCTTAATAATTTTGTTACAGAACAATATCACTCTAGAATAAAAAAATAATTCACAAAATGTTTACTTGTACACTATAGAGAAAGCAATAAAAAGTGATTATCAGAGATCACTATTAACAGATGGAATACAATCAGAATAAGTCACAACAATCACAATAAACTAACAGCAAGAAGTTTTATTCTCATAATTTAATTTGTAAGAACAAAGTAATTTTGCATTACATCACATAAAACAATATATCACAACAAACTATTTTTAAATGTTTAAGTAACTACAGTGAAATGAGGTATAAAGAATGTCAGTCAGTTTAACGAAATTTTCAGCATAATGAATATAGTTTGAATCCTTTGCCAATTTCCTATTCAGATCAATGCAAAAATGTTTCAGTTTAACGAATGCCATAATAAAAATTTCAATTTAACATAATAAAAATATGTCTGTTATGAAAGAATAGTATTATTTATAACAAAATCTATAAATGCATAAATCATTTGTTATTATTAAATAATGAATATTATGTCAAACAGTCTGGCAACATTAATCCTTAGTTATGGTTTTATTTTACAATCATCTCAGAAATAAATAACAAAACACCAACAAAACCTTCAAAATATACCAGCAAATATTATTTAATATAAATATGCTATGACAAATGTTTTCGATCCAACTAGATCTGCTTAAGGTCCAAAATGCTGGATACAATTAGAATGTTGTAAGATCAAATTTAAATTTATATAACCTCCAGAACAACTAAACATTAGACAAGTATAAACATCACATATAGATGTTAAAATTAATCTAAAAATTAATGTTTTAATGTTATTACTCTACAGTTTGTTTCTTTTTAAGGAAACAAGAAGAAATGGAGAAAAACAAAAAACCAAAGTTTTCTTTCAAATAGAATAATAAAATATTAGATAATGTGCAAAAACTAATTAAACAAAAAGACGTGCCTGACAGCCTACTGGAATGCTGTATCACAGTACTGGATTTTATCAAATAAACTTTGATTAAAGAAACAACACAAATGAAAATTAGACTTCTTTTACCAGAAAATAATGGATTCAAGCAGAAACAACAATTAAAGAGGCAAGATTCCAACTAATCGGCACTACTACAAGGGGTGTTCAAAAAGTATCTAATCTTTATTTTTCCCACGTAAACCAATGATGCATGGGAGTCTCTTTCGGTGGAGTTGTGGAGGGGACAATCATGCACAGTCCTGAATTTTTTCCCACCTGCAGGAAGCGTCAGTCGCTGGCAGTCAGCCTATGAGTGAGGATGTGTAGTGAGCACTCGTCGGATTCCACTAAGTTGGAAAATGACTGAACAACGTGAGCAGCGATATTGCATCCAATTTTGCCAAAATCTTGGGGATACCCAAGCGGAAACCATTCGCAAGATTCAGCAGGCTTTTGGGGACGATCCTTGAGGCCAAAAAAGCACGGCAGGTCCACAGTAATGTC